ATCGTCTTTGCGAACCATTTTGTTCTAGAAACTTGTTGAAAGATTGACTACATGCAGGGCTAGTTGGTGAACTACTGTAGCCGCAAACAAACTAGCAAGCCAAGTAGGTCACTATAGCTCCATCTCGACTCTCTTGTCTCATAACTGTTTGCTAATAATTCTTCTTTTGTAGAGAAGTTTAGACTCAAACAGAGGAGGATAAAATAAAACAGTGCCTAATAAGCTACGATAGCGACTCTCCAGCTGTTTGTTCCCTCAAACCTCAGCACAGTCACAGCTGGTCAGCCAAACAACTCTGCGTGTTGAGAGTCTAAGACTAATTTCAAAACTTAATAGAAACTCCAGATACTTTTCTTGGGGCGTGAACCGTGAACTGAGCTGAACCCCGTGCTGGTTGTTATTTGTGTTGCCTCGTCTCTGACCATTTTCAGCTCAACAGACTCATGTAAACATCAAAAATCTGGTCGAGAAGTTGCTTCATTAACACGGCAGCGTCTGTGCGCTTTAAAGCCGGATCATATCAAAGAGTATCAGCTTTGTTCCACAGTTTCAAGCTGTGAAAGTTAAATGAATTGCTTTGTTCTAGGCCATGTGATTTCTTTTTTTGCTTTATGTCTCTTCCTTCCTGCAAAATGTAACCTTTTTTCTCAAAAAAGATCTATTCTCCTGCGGACAGCTGTTGTGTGTACATGCCTGTACAGCTCAATATTCTCTATTTATGACAGCTTGCACGAGCAGCAGTATTTCTGTGGAGATGACTCAGGGGAGTTCGGTTCACCGCTCTGAGCTTTTAAAGTATAGTCTTGTCCCCGTGACCCAGTCTGCATCTTCATCTGCCCCGACAGCAACAGATATGAAGGGATCCCTAGAATAGAAAATGCCAGTCGTATCTGTTTATCTGGGATTAGGCTGTTTTTCAAGTATACATACGGTATATGTACCGCTTACCTCATCCAATTGCCTCGGAGGTCACAGAAAAATGTGGTTGAAGTGACACAGAAATATGAGGTTATAAAACACGCCTGTAACGCCTCGGTCTCATGTTGCTTGTCATTTTTTAATCAGACGTTTGTGTCAGCATCCCCTCTTTCCTCCATTCCCGCCTCTTCCCTTTTTTTCCCCCTAGTCTCCAGGGGGCCAGACTGACTTCTTTCTCACCTCTGATGTTTATTACACAAACAGCACCTAGGATCAAATACTTTATTTTTTTTTTCTAATCCAGAGAAGCCAAGTGTTGGTGAGAGATAACATGTAGAGGAGGTGGGAGGTGGGGAGGAAAGAGAGAGCTGCAGACTTGTTTATATGTCTTGATCTGACTGGATGAATAATTCAGCAAAGGCCTCCCTGACACTCCAGGATTATATTAAAAGAATAGTTAGGGCAGTGGGGAAAAAGTTGGGGGAGATGAAGTTTGGGCGACGGTGAAGATCGGAGGGCTTGATAATGACATTGTGAATTATTCAAACCTGCACCCCCGCCCCTCCTCCAGAAAAATAAACAACACACATACACAAGTGCAAACTCTCCAGCAGAGGAAGCCGTGAATGGCAATATGGTTTTGGTGATTAGAGGATGTTGAAGAGATTTCTGTACTTCACTCTGGGACAGAAGATGGAGAGCGACTGACAGCTTCCTTTTTAGCCGAGGTTTGAGCAATTCTTGCTTTTCTATTTGCCATCAGTCGTTCTGAAGTCTTCTTTCAGGATTTTAACTTCATTTTTCTTTTTTTTTTGGGGGGGGGTTTGCTTCACCTTAGGCATCTGCAGCACTGAGCATATTGCAGAAGAGCACTGATATGTTGTTTACTTTGCAGTTTCGCTGACTTTTTATTTACAGCCTGAGTCCCTCTTGATCCCTGACCTTTTGTTTAGAAAAACATGCATTAGTCCCAATTTAGCTATATAAGCTGAGAGAGTCATATCTTTACTCATATTCATGTGATGGATCTCGACCTCATCACTGTTAGATACGTACATGTAAACTTAAAGCTGCTATAGTTTTTTTTTTTTTTTACATGATCAGTGACTTTAAATGGCTACATGGATGTGACAAACCCACAGAGAATTATCCCCTCAGTCTTTTAGCATCTTTTAAACATTGTTTTGGTTTTATGGCTTAAGCTTTTCGCATTAGCGTTGTTTCCAGATGCAGTAGGCAGATGTTTTCAGTGGAAAACCCCCTGAAAACCCACTTTACGCTACCTGCCAAGCTCCGAAAGGCAGACAGACAAATTAGAGACTAACTGTGAACATTTATCAGCAGTTATTTCTTACATTTATCAGTGGTCCAGAAACACAACTTCAAAAGAATGCAAATGCTGCTCTGCTGGATGTGTAAATAAGCTGCAATTTGCTAGTAAGTCCACTACATCATCTTAAAGGGTGCTAAAATGACAGAGTTGTGTTTACAGCTTGTTTCCACTGTCCATAAATCTGTAAAAGCAGGTTTAAAGGACCAGTGTGTAGGATTCAGTGGCATCTAGTGGTGATGTTGTAGATTGCAACACCCACTCCACTCACCCCTCTCTTTCCAAGCGTGTAGGATAAAGCTAAAGGCCCTTTCTAGAGGTGATTATACACACATCACAATATATTTATGAATATTACATCCCTTTTCTGCCAAAAAGGCAAAAGTGTTTGGCTGTCCTCCACTCTGCTGATCTCTCTTCAAGAAATCTGTGTTTTGTGTCTTTCTCTCCTTGTGGGCCTTCATGATGTTGGTCGTAAGAAAAGTGATGAAAAAAGTGGGCGAAAAATGAAATACAGAGAGCTTTAGAGCCTTCTTTCTCACCTCAGTTCAACTGGCCAATCAGTGCAATGAAGTGATTGTCTGTTTCGGAAAGTTACAATAATAATACAATAACACACATACACTGGAGGCACAGGGGTGCAGACAGGGAGAGTTGTGTGGAAAGATCTGCTTTTGAAAGACATTGATTTATTTCCAAATTTTACGCAGAATTTGAGACAGATCTATGTGTGAATAAGTAGATAAGTGAATAATTAATTAAAGTTTTCATTCATTATAGGGTTATCGTGACTCTAGTTTGATCATCGATAGGACTTTTTTTTATCTTCAAACCTAAAAATGTAGGAAGTTTAAAATGTCTGACATCCTTGGAAGCACTCTTTATTTCTCTTCTATAAAGCTCTGACTGTCGACAACGTTGTTTGCAGCACTCTAACCCCTTAACACCTGACAACTTAACCAAGTTAAACCAAATTGTAACTTAAGGCCGGAGATATACTTGCTTTTGACTTTGTGCAGGCGTATCCTGCATCCGATTGGATGGTTGATTATGTTCGTCTTCAGAAATGGCCTTGACACAGACCTGTGGTTAAACTGCAAGTATATCTCCGGCTTTAAACCTAATCCAAAATCTCTGTAAAATATCTTCAATTTGAAATTATGTCAAAAGATGTCTCTGTTACATATAACCATTTCAGCAGCATTATATATTTCAGCGTGAAGTAGTTCCACCTTGAAATATAGTAATTTAAATGCTGTTGAAACAGTGCTTAAATGTCTAAAATGTTTTCACCGTCCTGCAAATCACAGAATCATTGCTTGCAGGGGGAATCTTTCTTCTCTTTGGAGAAATGCTACAATACTGCAGAACAAAAGCATCCGTTTTTGTTTTAAAATTTCACTTGAGGAATTTGAGGCACACCCTAAAACCAACTGTTTCATCAATAGTGGTCAGTGGTTATACAGTAATAGGAAGGGAAAAAAAGCTGTTATAATCATTATTTGGATGCTCCAAATAAAGCCTGACCTCCCCGGAAAGGCTGTGGGAAGAAGAGGGAGTGGGACAATGACTGGGGAATACTGGAATTCTTGGGCTGGACACTGTGGGAAGAGGACAGGGTGGGAGGAATCTGGAGCCTCCCTTTTCCATGGAGGGAAAACTCCTCCAGAATAAGACTCAGGAGCCTGCTGCACTGTGTCCTCGTGCGTGGGTCTTTTGTCCTATGTGCTGGCATCACGCACAGACAAATTGACTAAGTTCCTCCATGTTTGTAATTACAGTTTGCTGAGAAACGGCGTATTCCCCTGCGCAGTGTCATTAGGATTAGCACTCTGCAGGGTGTTGCTTTCCATTCTCCTGTAGCAAAAAAAACTCAATATCCCATCTGTCACAAGCCATTCTCCACAGCTAAACAAAGCCTGGATGCAGTAACAGCACCTAAATGGATGAATCCTCTCGAGCCAACATTATCTGCTGCACCTTGTTTGTAAAAAAAAAAAAAACACACACACACAGAACACACCTGATATCACAAGAAGATGCAGAAGGAAAATACACATCCTAACACGTACGTTTCAAGGTCGTGCTTTGAATTTACAGCTTCGAAAGAACAAATGTGACTCGCAGCCTAATAGGCCCAATTAGAGTTCAAGCTATGAACTAAAAGTCGGGCGCAAAGCCAAACGAAGAGTGCTATCAGGCTACGAGAGGGAACACAATTCACAATAGAGACGATTTATTTCAAAAGATGAGAAGCGACTCTGCACTTGGAGTCACGTCGTTTTAATTCTAAAAAGAAACCTTTGAGTATAAGATGTGCCACTCAATCACTGGAGACTAAATAAATCATCATCTCATTCATTAAAACGTTGAGTGTGAGTTCATATTCATGATACCAGCTGTGATGTTTTCACCCAAAAAATTTAAATGTACAGTACAGTCTGCTATTAACCTGCGACTTTGTCTCCATGTTTAATCATTTAAACAAATGTTTGCTCTCTAGCTGCTGCATGTGAAATGAATGTGTTTTTTCATCCAGATTATATTCTACTTTGAATATTTAACAGAAAGTGCTGATTTGTTTGCTTTTTCCCCCGGCCTTTTTTTCTACAATTTGCATTCCCCTGTTATTTCACAGATTGATATTTGACATCAGCAAAAAGTGAAGAACTGATGAAAACTTTTGGTAATTTTCACACATAAATCCGTTCTGTTTTTGACCTTTTGCCCCTGCTCTACATGCTGTCTGCAGGTGTGCTGAGCCTGCCGGAGAGTTTGAATCTGCACCGGGACCAGCAGCGCTCAGGGAGGGGCAGTGAGTGTCAGGCATACACCCAGGCCGAGCTTCGCACGCTGGAACAGTCGCTGCTCGCAACCCGGGTGGGCAGCATCGCAGAACTGAGTGAGTACACTTTGAACCCCTGTTTCTGTTCAGACATGGCCGAAACATGAGAAAAACGCAGGAAACTACTTAAAAGATGTAACAAGATGAAGTTTTAATTAGCTTTCTACAGAAACAGCCGGTAGAAATGTCCTTCAAAGGAACAAACAACCTAAGCAGAGTACTTTTTTACTTTCATACTTTAGTGAATAAGTTTTATTAGTACTTCTGATTTCACTGGAGCCCTTTTAGTTTTTTAGTTTATTGTAACACCCCTATGTGGACATCAGAGACTTGCATGTCGATTTGCATTTTATTCAAATAAAAAATATTGATTCAATATCTAACAGCGCACGTGATCACCTGGAAATGGATTTAGAATGATATCAAATATCAGACACTGTCATTAATTGCAGCCTAAAACCTGAGATTTAACTTTCCTCCCTCAGTACTGCTAACACAGCTACAACCTTAGCACAATTTTATTAATAATCGGTGCTTGGACTGGAGTTTAGGTGACCCATAATGAGCTATTTAAATGCTGTTTTTGAACATTTTCTACCCTGCTGAAGATTGAATTCCATAAATTCTTGTGAGTCCGCCTTAAAATAGTCAAATTTAAACATATTAAAAATTGACTTAAACTATTTGCAACTTCAGTTATTAGCTCTCAGACGCCGGCGTTTGATGAACACCATTATGTATTAAGTTCAGCTAACAGCGCATTATAAATGCAGCACTGATTGTTATGCACATTAAAACCGATCTGCTCAAGGACTTATTTCCATAACTATTTGGCAAATGGCCCCATTAGTGTGAAGGAATGCACACTCCCTGTCCCTGTGGGCTGACATGGTGGTCGACCCACTGCTCTTCCACTGTCCCCTCACCCTTTCTCCTCATCCATCTCTCCCCCTCTCCCCTCACCCACTGACACGCTGCAGCCAGGAACTGTTCTATTACAGCTGTTCTAACACCTGTTTATGAGTCCCGCCCGGGGGGACCTTTAAATCCAAGGTCACCGCCTCCGGGGCTTTTAACCTCAACTTGAAAGAAAGGCCTCCACCTTTAACTCTGACACTCCCCCCCTCCATGCCTCCACCCCTGTCCTCATCCTCTGTGCAGTCACAAATTAGCTCATCCAGCCCCCCCCAGACATCTGCAGTGTGTGTGTGTGTGTGTGTGTGTGTGTGTGTGTCCGTGCACATTTGTCCTGGATGAATGTTTGTTTTCGACTCCACAGCACATTATGCACCAGCAATTCACTATGCATCATCGATTAATCTAAGAACTGGTAGTCTTTCCTTGTAAATACCATCAGCAGTTGCTGTGTCACAGTGGTGATTCAGCCTGTAATCATTGTGAAACATGCTGTCCTTATCATCTCACAGACTCACAGTTATTGCTTCAGGTTCAGCCAGTGTCTAACATGTAGGATAGTCTATTGGCAGAAATGGAAGATAATATTCATAGGTATGTTTTCATTAGTGTATAATCGCCTGAAATTGAAGACGATTGAAGAAGAAACTGTCAAACTAGGCAGTGCTAATCAAATACGAATCAAGATTCTGTTACTGCGTTGCCTATTTCTCGCTTAGAATAGTTTCAGAAACATATTTTGGTGTACTGTTTATCTGCAATTCGAGAACCACCGTTGTTTCCTGCTACGGACGAGTCAAAACTGTGCAGTCAATGAGCAAAAAGCCAACATGGCGAGAACCATAAACTCGAGACTTCATAACGGTACTCCACAAACCAATGGGTAATCACTGGAAAATACTTGGATAAACAATATTGAAGGTGTAGAAAGCAGATATCCTCTTTAAACCTTTACTGATCTTTCGCCCACTTGGGGGTATATTCACTCTCTTTTTAGCTCTGGTTTGGTCTCCAACAACTCCTGAAGGAAATATCTGGCTCCTAAGCAACTAAATGCTTCACTATGTTCACCAGCCAGCTGTAAACTTAGCATATCTGCTGTTTGGTATGGTAAAGGATATAATATATATGGGATGGGACAGGTAGACACAGTGATAACTGCTCACACTTTGAAAGCTTCATTAGCATGCGTGAACAGAATGTCATGCACTTGGATCAGAAGGCAGAAAAAGCAGCACAGGCTGCTGTTTGATTCCTGTTTAATGCACCGTGTGTTTGACTCCCTCCGCCGCGCTGCCTCAGCTGGGCTTCCTCACCTCCAGGGTCGGCCAGTCGAACGCTGCCAGAGGTTGACATGTGGCTTGTAATACAGTTGCTGCCAACTGCTCGCAGTCATTTAGCGGATTTCAGAGGATTCTGTAACATGATTTCGTCCTCATGTTGTGTTATGTGAACAGATTGATCTACAGTGTGCAACTCACTGCATAGCATGAGTGTGAATCTGCTTATCAAGTGTATGATGATTGCATTAAGAGTGCTGATTTTAGCATGTTCTACCATCTGCCTCCGCTAGAAATTTCTGCATCTCATTTCAGACCCTTTTTTCGCCCACAGATTTTAGTTTGTTTTTAAAAAACAGGTGCAACAACCAGCAGTTTGTCTGTCATCTAGAGTGCAGCTTGTCTGTATTCAGCCTCTCTGATTTATTTTATTATTATTATTTTATTTATGCGTTTAAACGGAAATACTAAAAGTCTTACAATGAAAGAATTGATCCCACCAGGAAGTACTGTATTTAGATTATCTCCATAGAGCTGCATTGCTGTCCAATAACTATTAAAAACACATCAGTGAGCCACATTCACCGGAAACACTCATTAGAGGAACAAATGTGTATTAATCCACAGCTTAAAATAGTCCCCAACAAAGGCTCTATTTACTCCTGTTTGAGTTATGTTTGCTAAAAGCTTAGGAAATGATTTAGTCTTTTCTTCAAGTGAAACTACGTATTCTTTGAGCTGCTTTTAAATAATAGTGTCTTCAGAAGGGATAAAAGAAAGAATATTGCTTTTAGAGAAGATTTCTAAAAGAGAATGGGAGAAGATAAAAGTGACTGTGTGCCTTTTGTTGGATTTAAAATAGTTTATGTTCAACCTTTATTTATGCAGGATTTATTTATGCTCCTTCATAGCAACGCCCTGTTAACAGTTACATAAAACAACAAGAGAGCAAGACGAATAACAAGATCAAGTCATTAATAGAACAGAAAAACAGAAGATTAATAAAGTACAGGCTGAACTAAAGCCGTCACAGGAAGGAAGTGGACTGATAAGGTGATTTTGCAGCTTATTCCCTGAGACTGCTGCAGGAACAGTCTTTTCAAGATCAGGCCCAGTGGTTATTACATCTCAGACAGAAGTTGTGTGGTTGTCTGTTTCATGTAGAAACTCTTAGCACACATATTAAAAAAAAACCAAAAACAAAACACATGATATAATGAAGGTTTTCAACATAAATTTCAACAAACAAAAAGTACAGCACAAAAAGCACCGGGAGGAGAGCAGCACTGAAGTATTTCAAAACAAAAAAGTAACAGCATTATGAAAGAAAATGTGTGTATTAGCTTTAAAAGATAAAAAAAAGAGGCTAGAATGTGACCATTTTCTGGCTCCAAAGAACGAAGGAACTTTCAGTGATCTGCTAATGCACTGTAGTGATTTTGCTCTTTTGAGTAGACATTTACAAGTGTGCATTAGGCTGCAATTACCCAGGGATTTCATGGGGACATCAGTATCAATGACGTGTACGTTCACCACCAGCTATGCTTTTCTTTTCAACTTAATGAGAATCACAATTTGTAGTCAAAAGTCGCCAATGTTTTCTCTCTTTTTTTCCTCGTTCAGTTTACCATCACTAAATTTAACATTGCTTTTTATAACATGAACTTCTTGACATGCAATAATGAAACCGGCAGCCTTTTTTCTCTCTGTGTTTATATATTTATAGAAAAGCTAGCAAACAGTATATTATTCTGAAATTGGTTGTAATGCTTTCCGAATTGATGATACTCTGATAAATATTTATGAATAGATGTTATGTAAATTGATATAATATTAATGCACTAACTCTACTTCACATTTATTTTACAATTTTAGAAACCTGATACTTAATTATAGATAAATATTGTATTTGCATGTTCACTGAAAATAACATTGTACTTTCTCATTAATTTTATTTTCAATATTTACTGTAAATAAAATATACATTCTTAAATTTTAATTTATATGCACGTTTTGGTTTTCAGGCTCGAGAAGTACTTGTTATCTTTATTTCTGGCTGCGTACAACCTCCACCAATCAGAGGTTAGGGCAGTAGGCTGTAAGCTTCCTGAGAGGCAAAACCTGGGGCAAAGAAAATCTGCTTAACGCTATAAGTCCATTGTAATAATTAATAATTGAACATTTCTATCAGTCGCTATCTTCTCTCCTCTGGACTCTGGCAGCTGGACAGCAAGAGGATGTTGTTTAGAGAGATTTTAGTGTGAAAACTGAAACTGTAAAACTGTGTTAGGAAGTTATGCCCTTGGTCCCTTAACTGAGGTCCTGCCAAAGTCAAGCCGGCATTAATTAAAGTCGTTTTCATAATTAGTGGCGGACTCTGCCATTTCCATGCTGGATTCATATTGCCTTCACACAGACGAATTTGATCTCCTTGATATCAGCCTCGCTGTTTACTGTTCACTCTGTTTTCACGCTGTGTCAGAGCTGTATTTAGCTAATGCTAATTCACACTTTCCTGCTACCGCTGCTTCACATTAAAAGCATTCAAGTCAATCTGATACTAATTTTACACTATTTGTGAGGGCACCCTGGCATGAAGATGCAGTGTGATACAGCGACATTTCTATGTAATTGCTCTGGCTCTTCTTGGTTTTAGTGCCGAAAAGGAAACGACCAGAACAGTTTTGTGTTATAAATCCAGGAGAATTTCTGCAGAATCCAAGGACGCCAAGTTTCCTGTTTCCTGAAATCAGGTTACTGCCAAAATACAGTATGAGAATAAGCAGATTTCCTCAGTGTGTGTGAACATAATGCCTGTGGCATTCAATGTATAATGCAGAGAAGAGGCTGATAGAGGCTGCC